AGAAGGAGGGAGGCCTGTCTCTGGAATCTGATTGCCGAGCCATCTGGTGTTGCAGCTGACCTGGAAATGAATCCAGTACATTTCAGACCTGAGTTACAGCTGGCGTGGGGAAATCTGAGAAACAGGTGGTTCCCTTAACAGCTGTATGTTCAGTTAGGGCCAGCAAGAAAGAACATTTCATGCTTGTTGAACCTTCATGGGCTTTCTGGGATCTATAGTAGTTCCCTAACCTTTTGCCATAATAATTACTTTATGAAGGCAAATAATGGCATTTCTGCCTTCTTTGTTGAGACATTCTGTGCAAGTCAATGAATCTAAAATGTTTAAGTCAGTATATTAAGTGAAGATGAATTATAAAAAGATTGCTAGCTGAGAGTATACTTACAGAAACAACAATCTTTCAAATATATGCTTGCTTATTCTGGAAATACATGAATTGAAGTCCCATGGTGGAGAAACACTAATTGCTGCATCTCAAATAACTGTTTAAATCTGGAGGGCTGTACTTATCCTTTAGCATTTAAGATAACCAAACACGGTTGTTATTAACGGAATCATTATGCATGCCAAATAAAGTTTAAGACACTTTTAACAGAATAAAAGTAAAGAATAAGTTTGGTTCTTTCTTATCTGTTCTAACAAACACTTTGGCTGTTTATCTACCTAGTACAAAAGGGGCGGGGGTATTTTAGGCAAATCTGGTATTTATTCACTGATTTAGAAGGGATAGAATTAAAGTGACTAAGATTCGGAGAAAGCAAGACATTTTCCCCAAAGTCATGCAGGAACCAAACTATGAAAGCCAGAGAAGACTCTCAGTATTATCCCTGTCTCACTGTCTGTCCCTTGACTCCATATTTGTACAAGTTGTCCATTGCATGATAGTGCCTGCTGAGGCTGTGAACAGGGGCAGCCCTGGACACAAATCCATGGGCTGTGACAAGGGGTTGTGTCCACCTGGAGATGGGACATCTTTTCCAAATACACACAAAGGTTCCTAGTTGATTTGCTAAGTGTGGCACCTAAAAGGTCAGGGGCAAATGAGGGAAGTACATCACCAGCATCACAGCATAGGATGTTCTATTAAAGTTCATTAAAATTAGAGTTTATTGGGCCGGTGCCGTGGCTCAATAGGCTAATCTTCCGCCTTGTGGCGCCGGCACACCGGGTTCTAGTCCCAGTCAGGGTGGCGGATTCTGTCCCGGTTGCCCCTCTTCCAGGCCAGCTCTCTGCTGTGGCCCGGGAAGGCAGTGGAGGATGGCCCAAGTGCTTGGGCCCTGCACCCACATGGGAGACCAGGAGAAGCACCTGGCTTTTGGCTTCAGATCAGCGCGGTGCGCCGGCCACGGCGGCCATTGGAGGGTGAACCAATGGCAAAAGGAAGACCTTTCTCTCTGTCTCTCTCTCTCACTGTCCACTCTGCCTGTAAAAAATAAAAAAAAAGAGTTTATTTTAGCATAATTTCTAAAGAATCTGTTTAAATGGATGTATGATAAATGAGATAAAAGCTGTGTATAGTGTGAAGGGGATCTATAACAACAAAATTCCTTATTTCACCCTACCAGTTGCACAGGCAGGGTGGACCCTGGTTAAAACTGTTAAGAGTTTAATATTTTGAGTAAAAATATTTTCATTTGAAATAAATGACAATGGAACATTGTGACATACCTCCACTCCTTTGGTGTACCCCTTCATATGTGTACTTCCTCTATAACTTATAATTAAAAGTCATAACAAAAAACAGGAGCCTACAACACATCCAGTGCTTTCCATGTGCCTGTCTCTGGGGGATTAAGCCACCTACCCAAGGACTCCTAGCTAGCAACTGGTGGAACTGGGGTACTATTACGTGTTGGAGCTCACGTTCCGAATCACTGTGCAGTCCTTATTTAGACAGCCCCGTCTTGTGAGCTGGAAGGATCACTTTATGGATCCATTATCAAATTATAGCAATTCAAACCGAAAATAAATTGTAGTTATCAAAGAAATGCCTAACCACTTGTTTTTAGGCCTCAGGATAATTCCATTTTCGAGTTGGATGTTTTAGATATTTTCCCAGTTCTTATTCTGTATTTGGAGTCACCTCCCTCCATTCCTTTCCCCTTTTCACCTGCCTTTCCATACTGCTCAGCAGCTTCAAATGTTCCCTTTATTAAAAAGGGGGGGGACCCCACCTACCTCGTTCAAGATGAAATCCAGGCAGTTAAGCCACTAGAGATGCTCACATCCCATATCAGGGTGCTGCTTTAAGTCCCAGCTATTCTGCTTCAGATCCAGCTCCCTGTTAATGTACCTGGGAAGCAGTGGGTGGCAGCTCAAGTCCTTGAGTTCCTGCTACCTATGTGGGAGACCCTGATGGAGTTCCAGGCCACTGTCCCAGCCCATCTGTTGTAACTATTTGAGGTGTGAACTTGCAGATGGAAGATTCTCTTCATCCTCTCCCCCTTCTCCCTCCCTCCACCTCCCTCTCCCTCCCCCTCCCTCCCTTTCCCTCCTCCCTCCCCCTCCCCCTCCCTCGCTCTCTCCCTCTCCCTCCCTCTCCCTGCCTCTCCTTCCCTCTCCCTATCTCCCTCTCTCCCTCTCTCTCTCTCACTTTAAGTAGTCACCCTCACACTAAGGCACAGACAGCTAGGAATAGTTAGAAGTCTCCATCCCCCAGGGGCAGCAGCTTGATACTTAACAGAAAATGATCCATGCCTTCCTAGTGGACTCTCAGGCAGCAGCAAGTGGTAGGGATTTTGTTGGTATAGCGGGAGAGCTTCCTTTATTCCTGAGATCACTGCGGGTTGGTCAGAGCTTTTCAAATTCACCTAATATGAAAGGGACACAAGATTGCTTTAGTTCATACCATCTTTGTTCTGTGTTGCTTTTGTCTAATTGTAATTTGTTCTCTATTCTCAGTCTCTCTGTCATTCTTCTGTTCCTTTAGGCCAACCTAAACTTTTCATTCTTGGCTTTGAACATGGCCAAACTGGCATTTGTTTTTCATCTCCCACATTTATTCTTTCTTAGTCTCCTGCTTTTCAAACTTCCCCAAAAACTCATCCATCTCTAAAACTTCTTTTCTGGAGTGTATCACCTCCAGAACCACCTGCCTAAAAATATCAGATCGTGCCTCCTTACTGAAGCTTTGATTATTCAGTAAGATTGAAATTTGAAACTTGCCGTTTGCTCCTTATCCCAAAGCTAAGACCAGAAGAGGGAAAGGAGAACTAAATTGGGGTCTGTTAGTTGGAGGTGTTGAGATGGCTTTTCTTGTTCTGCTTTCTGTCCCAAACCTGGTGAAACATGGTTGATATTTTTCTTCTCAAAATGACTACAGTAGTTTAGTGGGAGTTGGGACGTGACTTCCTTAATTTGAAGCAACCCCTGTGGCTCTTCTGGAGTTTACACTGTGACAGTGAAGCTGAAATCACTAGTTGACTAGTTATTAAAAAGTCTACTGTCAAGTAGCACGGCCAAATAAACTTGGTCAAAGAAATCAAATTAGCTGAAGTGTGAGCCTATTTTAAAATGGTCAGTCTCTCCATCTCTGGTTCGTTAAAGAAGGATTTCTGATGCTTGGATGCATGGAAGTTTGGTTTTCCAAAAGGTTGTGAACATTAATCTTGGTGGATTTTGATGAAATTAAGTCCAAGATAAGTTTCAGGATAAGGAGGAGGAATCTTAGATGCAGTTCACAATGCTGTGCGAATGGCTTTGTACATCATTTTCCCCTCTCTCTTGAAGGAGTTTTTATTTTGAAAAATTGAAATGCTGATATGTGATTCTAAGTCTTCGATGTCTTTCCTTGCTAGTTCCCTCCTTCACAACTGTGTTATTTTGTTCTGAACTTTGTCTTGATTTATATGATTTCCCTACTGAACCAGTACTGGTGCGTCAGAGCTGCACATTTCTCTCCTGCTATTTTCTGTGCTTGATGCATATCTCTTAAGTTCTTCCTGTCCCTGTCTGGCTTTGTGAGTCTTCTCCACCAAAGTTTAGACTATATACACACAAACAGTCTTAATGAGTGCCTTGCTCCACTTTTTTTCTCCACTTAACAAAAAGGTACCATCTTTCTTTCCTTCAAATTTCTAAAGTCCATCTCCTTTGTCCAAGCCTCATTGTGCTGAGAGAACTATATGCTGATTAATAAGTTGTTACCCAGTGTCTTCATCTGCAAGTTGAAGTAGGGGCTAGCCATCCTGCAGGATGCAGAAGGAATGGTCTAAGGTCTCAACACCATTTACTTTGATGGAAGAGGTTGGTTGCAAAGAGGATCTCTCCTGGCCTTCTCTTGGGGGGCTTTCAGCTTGGACTCCCTGGCTGTTGGAAATGAGGAATCAAGAGGTTAGCAGTTGGTGTGCCACAGCCATATTTAATACATGGGCCAGACTATACTAACATCTCTTTGGCCATGTAACCACCCATTTAAATTCTAGCTGGTTAGAATACAGTCTCTGATTTTCACAGACAAGTACTGAGTGTCACATGTACAGAACTTTGCATTATGTACTGTGATGAAGATAAAAAAGAATAAGGCATTACCCCAGCTTTTAAGAAGCTTATAATCCAGTTGTCAAAGCCTTTGAATTTAGAACGTGTTTTAAAAGTGTGACGTGTTCTAGAGGTATTTCAGATAATCGTAGTTACTGTAAATTTATGCTGTTGTTACCATGATGAAGTACGTCTCTTTAGGTAGGTGCTAGCCAAAAACAGGTCCTATTCACCTCACCCACCCCACTGCCACATTCCACCCTCACTCATGAGTAGCTCCATCCAAATAGTTGGTGCACTGAGCTATGAATTGGTTTCCAACATGGGTAAAGCTAATAAATATGATTTTGGATGAAAGGCACTGTGTAAAAGCTTGAGATGTTGTTATTACTGTTCTCATACGCTTTATTATTTTTAAATTATGCATCCTTTTAAGTAGATTATTTGTTCGCTGCAGTCTCCATTATATCTAAGCAAAGCATTCACAGAAATTTCTAAAACCTTTTCATTTCTCTCTGTAGGTTGTTGTTTCGTAACATTTTATACAAGAAAAGCTGCACTTGAGGCCCAGAATGCACTGCACAATATTAAAACTTTACCTGGGGTGAGTCGGTTTACTTTTGTACCAAAATCACTTTATTGCTTGAAAATGGTCCTTTCAACTGAAGGTTCTAGTTATGAGCTCTTAGTGCCAAAAATGACTTTGGTCTTTTGAGGAGTGTGTGCTGACCCCTCTGTTCCCTACAGCAGTCAAACCAGCTGGCTGGCCCATACAGAAGCGCTGGCATTAACACTGATGGGAAGAGCTCTCAAATAGCACGTCCCCTGGTTAGAAAATCAGAGTGACCCCACTGGGTAGCAGCAGCTGCCAAAGTGTATTGGGTGGGCTAAGATTTTAAAAGGAAAAAACCCAACACACACAAGAGAAGCAAATGGAAAAGGAAAAGCTTTTACTCACCAGGAGCCTCTTTTCAGATTTAGTCTTTATATTTTCTTTTGAAAGGACAAAAATGTGCCCTGTACAGCTGTAATATCAAGCCTCCTAATGATTTCTAAACAGTCAGTGGTGGTTAACAAAGTCAGTGTCTTAATGCCCAATTTGTGGCTTCATGTTGACATAGAACAGAAAACACAAAGTTTATCATATTTTTTCCCATTTCCTTCCCAGTAATATTTCATGATCAGTACAATTCCCTAGAAATGAACTGATGCTGCCTATAGCAACTTCATCAGAATACATTATTTCTGGAGGACTTTATGGCATTTTTACATATTTCATGTTTATATACATTTCCCTATGTTGTTTGGATATTTCCCCCATTGACACAAATATCAGTGATAAGTTAATTTAGCATGATGTGCTTACATAATATGAAGGTTCTGTAGTAGGCAGTCCAAATTTAATTGAAACTTGGTTTGATAAGAATAACATAACCAATGCACCTAGTATTTTCAAGGTATGATTTTAACTCTGTTTCTTGTCTGTCTCTGTACAAATACACAAACATATGTGTGCTTACTAACAATAACAGATAGGCACATATAAGCATTTTATCACTTGTTACCCAAGAAAAGATAGTATTTGTATAATACACTTTAGATCCATTAAAATATTTTTAAAGATTTATTTTTATTTATTTGAGAGAGAGGGAGGAGGGGTCTTCCATCTGCCGGTTCATTCCCCATATGACTGCAACAGCCAGTTGCTGCTGAGCCAATCCGAAGCCAGGACTTCTTCGGGGTCTCCCATGTGGGCACGGGGGCCCTAGGACTTAGGCCATCCTCTGAGGCTTTCCCAGGCACAGGAGGAGGGAACTGAATGGGAAGTGAACCGGCACCATATGGGATGCCAGAGGTGCAGGTTGGGGCTTTTACCTGCTGTGCCACAGGGCCAGCCCCTCCAAAAATTTTTATATTTGTAGTGGAAAGATACTGAACAAAAGGTTTCCAAAACAGTAACCTCTTACCTAAAAGTAATAAATTATGAACTTTGGTCTCAAATCATAGCCCTCTAGTTTTTGTCTTTTAATTTTAGCAAATCATAGAATAGAACATTCAGAAAAACAAGGAAGTGGTACCACAATGCTTCTTCCCAATTTAACTACTTTCCATGAAACTGCATAGGTTTTTTTTTTTTAAAGCAGCCTGCATTTTTAAAACAGATTGATTTGTTTGAAAGTCAGAGAGAGAGGGAGACAGGAGACCTTCCATCCACTGGTTTACTACTACCTGGATGGCTACAACAGCCAGAGCTGAGCCAGACTGAAACCAGAAGTTTCTTCCATGTCTGCCATGTGAGTGGCAGGGGCCCAAGAACTTGAGCCATCTTCCCCTGCTTTTCCCAGGCCATTAACAGGGAGCTGGATCAGAAGTGGAGCAGCCAGGACACCATCTCGTGCCCATATGGAATGCTGTTGGCACAAGTGGCGGCTTTACCCACTATGCCACAATGCCAGCCCATGAGGTGATTTTTATTAGTGATCAAATTAAGTTTAAATGCTTTGCTTAAAAAACAAGGGATATTTCAGCTTTATTCTCCATATAAGTGGAATTTTTCCCATGTAAATTTTTGAAGATTGCAACATTGGGTCCCATTACTGAGTGGAGCAACTAACAGTATTTACTGGCTCAGCCAACAAAACAATAAAATAATTTTCATTTCCTAGGCTCCTAATCAACCCAAGAACCAGTCTGTATTCCTTCTCTTACAAAGAAATGCTTTGTAGTAATTAGTACACAAAATTGCACATGAATATGCTTAAAATATTACTTGAGATGATGAATTATTACGTACATTTAAGGTGTAGTATAGTTTGACTCCAAATAGCGTAATTTTAGATGAAGTCAAAGCTTAGTTCATTTGTACTCATCCTCTCTACTGGAAGCACAGCTCTAATATGCCATATTCATTTGTCAAGAAACCCAGAATTAATATGATGAATGGGGCATGGTGAAATTTATAGGCAATACTAGTGGGTATATTTCTGTTTGGGATATGTTACTCTCACCCATCCGATAGTGAACAAATATTATCTTCTGTATTCAAATACATCTAAATCTGTATGCAATTTAAATATACTTACATAATTTAAATGTATGTATGCACATTATCTTTTCTTTCTAAGAATTCTGCATTTAGAATATAAGGAAAGTGATTTTTAGAGACCAATTGTTAGGGACAGTAATTTGGGAGTTGGAGGGTTGTTTTTAGTTTTCTGTTTTCCAGTTCACTTTAATACGTCCAATTACCTGAAGCAGGTTAAACAAAAATTTAAAGTCAGATCTGACTTTACAGTGTACACACTTCTCACATTTGCCGTATCAAACGTGGTGAATCGGTACAGAGTTCCACAGCTTGCTCTTCTATACAGCTTTATCTAACAAACATCACCACAACAGCTACAGGAAGAACAGGAAAGTGATTGCCTTTCAGCTGTGAGCCTTTGGTGGACAAGAAGAAATGGGACCAGGCATGAAAGATTAATGCATATTCTTGAAAAAAAAAATATTACAGAGTGCCTTGCTGTTTGATTACAAGCCTCGGAATTAGTCAACATTTCCATAATTCTAAACCAATATACACCTGTTTTCCCACTGTGATGTGAAGGCACAACTTAATTTAACAGAAACCCTGCTGTGCTAAATCTCTCATTAAATACCAAGTGAATTCAGTAATTTAAAGTTGTAGCACTACTATTTTAACTGGTTGCCTTCATATTATGAAATTAATAAGAAATTAATGATGCACTTTGCCATATGCCTTCAATTTCTTTCTGAATAAAAATAAAAGGGATAAAGAAAAATGCATCACCAGCTGACACTTTAAAGCTTTTCTGGTTGTAATCATTTTCCTGCGGATAAAATCCATTAAAATGGCACTTGCTGCCTTTTTTCTAAAGTGTCCAAAACTCAATTTATGACAAGATCAAATACTTCTGGGGTTTTTTGCTATGTAATTTTCTTTTGCAGTTGATTTTTTTAATAAGGAACTTTTATTGTGTAACCAAACTTGATTATTAATATGTAGGAATGTGCTTTCCCCATTGTGCCCCATCTTCCTTTCTTGGGGGAACAAAGAACACTCTGATAGGACTGTCTATTACGCAGTCAAATGCGCTTGCTGTTAGATTTGAATTAAAAGCACTGTCTTTGTCATGTTGCACGTAGATTTGAAAGACTCTATGTGGTAGTGGTAGCAGTGAGTATTGGGAAATGGGGAAGGGCAGTAGGATTCAGGTGAAGGAGCAGGCCTCACCGAGCTACACAAGGTAGCTGAATATGTTTCTCAAGCCTACCTCTTACTGTGTAACTGAAAAAAAAATCATTGGATCTTTTATCTTTTAAAGTTCAGTATAAATACTAGAAATACAATAGTAGAAAAAAAGGGAGCAAATTTAACAGCTCAACAAAGAGTGGAGAATCAGGGTCATTTGTTTTGGTCGTGTTGTCTTCTAGATGTGGTTGCTTGATGTTGAAGCAATAAATCAAATCTCAAAGTATAGTGCCTTATTAATTACTGACATTTCATGAGATTAAAAAACCACAAATGATTTCTGAGTGCCTACTATGTTCCAGGCACTAAATTAGGTATTGGCAGGAAATAACAGAAGTTAAACTTGATGGGACCTCCAGCTGGTCTAGCTAGAAGAATGGACAGTAGACAGATAATTAATTTACTTGGTTTATCCTGTGGTGCTCTTCCATTCCTGACAGAATACAGTTCCACAGATATACACCTTAGATCCCTATTGAGTAGTGCTTTTAAAGCCTGAAAAGAACTTTGTGACCATGCCTGTTCCAGCTGGGCTACTTGATGAGCCGTTGGATTTAATGCAACGTCCTTGGGTTAACTTTTTCCATGGTTGTGTCTTCTGTGTTCCTGTACAAATTTCATTTGCCTCCACTTGGATGTAACAGATTGAGCTTAGCTGTAGCTCCTTTGTTTAAGCTTTCAGATAGGCACAACCTAACCCGTAGTATTAATATAGAGAAAGGTCATATTGTCCACCATTGGATTTCCCAGAGTGAAATCCTTGTAAAGACAACTTGCAAGATTCGTTTTGTTTTCCTTTCTTGACCTAACTTAGCTCAACTAAAAAATAAAGACACTAATTCAGGCCCAGAAAAATTGCCAAGACCTTTTCAATAATCAGATGTCAAGACCAAATATCCCTGTGCCTGTGACAGCATTATGCTTTCTGTCATTTTTTCAAGGTCTTAATACATATTGTTTCTAACAGTAAGGCTTTTTGGTTGAAAGTCTACAGCAGTATCATTAGAGCATTTGCTGTATAAATTAATTTAATTAAGGATGTAATAACAGAGAGGAATACAGTTTTGAAAAAGCTCTTAAATTTTAACAGCAAGGAGGAATCTGCAGAATCTAAATGTCTTGTAAAATATTAATTGCAAATTTCTCCCAGACATTTTCTCTGAATATGCCTTACCCTTTTCTTTGTAGAATTACTACCAATTTTATTAAATGCAGTTTATATTAAGGAGTTACTGCCCTAAGAGAACATTTGTTTAGAGCACTCCATTTCTGCGGTTGCATACTGAAAGGTGTTTTATAATAACACATGCATTGTGAGCGAGGATTACACG